CCACCCGCCCACCCATCCATCCATTCATCCATCCAAAAATTTGAAATTACAATACAAAATCAATCAGTCAATCAATCATACACATAAAACGGTAAACGGGCAAAACCTCCCCATTTGTAGTTCTGCGGGGAAGTGTTGCCAAGCGTCGAACACCCACGAGATTGCGGTAGCTCTGCCGGGACTCGGGTGGGGTCCTGGAGGCAAGAAATTTCGACATAGGCCGAACACCCATACATGTATCACCTTCTAAAAAAAAAAGAAAACGCACCCAGGCCCATTCGTTTTTTTATTGGTGCACAGCAGAAATCCACGTGGCGGAAAAAAAGAGGCTTGGAAGTAGTGGTGGCTGAAGCCTTTTTAAGTTTTTAAAGTTTTTATCCTAGCTAGGCAAGTCTTCTTTGGGGGTTCCGTCATGATAAAATGATGATTTAGTTGTGTGTGATTGACTGATAATATTTCATAATGAATTCCTAGTAAATGAGTAGTAGAGTACACTATACTACACCCTGCCTGAGTGTCCTCCCTTTTTTGTGGTCCTCTTTTCCAGAAAGAAAACTGCAAAAATTGGACTAACGGTGTTTGTGGAGGAACTGGGAAAATAAGCGCCCGATCCAAGAAATTTTTGGAAGAGAGAGGTTGGGAAAAAAGAAAAGAAAAGGAAGAGAGAGCAAGGGTCCCACACAAGTACCGGGAAGGGTTCCGACTTTTCTGAGTCTTCTGACCGCTAGAAAAAAAAAAAAAGGAAAAGAAAAAGACGCCATACCACCTACCTTCAAAGGAGTGAAACCACTTGGCTGGCCAGGCCGGGGCAGGCCAGGCCAGGGCAGGCCAACCCCTGATGGCCTCCAGATTTGTTGGGGCTTCTATGCCAGATAGGGTTCACCACGGTCGTGGCTTGGCTATGGCCTCCCCGTGTCCAGGTGTGGACAGTTTGGGCCCGTCAACCGCCCAAGCGGAGACCCACACACCTGGATTCTTTGTTCTGGATCACAGCTTACGAGCCCCAGTCGCCAGAAACATAGACGACAGCAATCACCTACCAACATAGACTGGCCTCCCAGAGTTCCGGCGGAAAGTTAGGGGCTGTTCAAGGTTACAACCACACGGGCAGAGGTCCCACTTGCCTGGATTCTTTGCTGGAGTGGTCGCCTAACAACTGTGGTGGTCCTGAAGTTCCAGTGGAAAGTTAGGGCCCATTTAAGGTTACACCTTACACACGGGCAGAGGTCCCACTTGCCTGGATTTTTTGCTGGAGTCCGGCTCACAATTCTGATGGTCCCCGCATGATTCCTGTTGTTCTGGAGGAAAGTTAGGGGCTGTTGAAGGTTACAACCACGTGGGCAGAGGTCCCACTTGCCTGGATTCTTCGCTGGAGTGGTCGCCTAACAACTGTGGTGGTCCTCCTGGAGTTCCAGCACAAAGTTAGGGCGTTTTCAAGGCTACAACCACACAGGCAGAGGTCCCACCTGGGCTGGATTTTGTGCTGGAGTCTGCTTAACAACTCTGACATGTTGTTCCTGCGTAAAGTTAGGGCCTGTTCAAGGTTACAACCACGTCGGCAGAGGTCCCACTTGCCTGGATTCTTTTGGTCGCCGAACAACTGTGGTGGTCCTCCTGGAGTTCCGGCGCAAAGTTAGGGCCTGTTCAAGGCTACAACCACACAGGCAGAGGTCCCACTTGGCTGGATTTTTTGCTGGGGTCCACCTAACAACTCTGATGGTCCTCTGGGACTCTTGTTGTCCCGGCGTAAAGTTAGGGCCTGTTGAAGGTTACAACCATGTGGGCAGAGGTCCCACTTGCCTGGATTCTTCGCTAGAGTGGTCGCCTAACAACTGTGGTGGTCCTCCCCGAGTTCCGTCACAAAGTTAGGGCCTGTTGGCCCTGTTCAAGGGTACAACCACACAGGCGTAAAGGTAGGGGCTGTTGAAGGTTACAACGACGTGGTCCGAGGTCCGAGGTCCCACTGGCCTGGATTCTTCGCTGGAGTGGTTGCCTAACAACTGTGGTAATCCTCCCGTAGTTCCAGCACAAAGTTAGAGCCTGTTCAAGGGTACAACCACACAGGCAGAGGTCCCACTTGCCTGGATTTTTTGCTGGCGTGGTGGTCCTCCGGGAGTCCTGTTGTTCCGGCGTAAAGTTAGGGGCTGTTCAAGGTAATAACCACGTGGGCAGCCTGGATTCTTCGTGGTAAACTAACCATTGTGGTGGTCCTCCCGGAGTTCCGGCGGAAAGTTAGGGGCTGTTCAAGGTTACAACCACACGGGCAGAGGTCCCACTTGCCTGGATTTTTTGCTGTAGTGGTCGCCTAACAACTCTGATGGTCCTCCCTGAGTTCCGGCGTAAAGTTAAGGCCTGCTCAAGGTTCAACCATGCAGGCAGAGGTCCCACTTGCCTGGATTCTTCACTGGTACCGTAGAATAGGGGCAGACCCCACTCGTGCAATGTTCATGCTCGGAAAGCATGAGCCTGGGGATAAGAGTGGGCAGGTTCGTGCTTTCCTAGCATGAATATAGGGTCAGTATTGGGTCATTATCAGTATTGGCATGCAGAGTGTTCAGTTTGTCGAACTTTGTGTCCATTCAAGGGCTAATGTATGTGGGATTGGGGTAATTGGAATTTGGTGATATATGTGTGATTGGGCCAATACTGAAAGTATATAGAGTATAATAGACCAAAGGGTGATTTAGAGTTTTCTTTTTGATGAACTCTGCACCCATCCGAGGGGTAACAGATGTGGGACTCATACAGCCTTCTGTTTGTCGACCTTTGTGCCTATTCAAGGGCCCAAGGGATAATGTATGGGTGATTAAGTACTTGGAAGTTGGTAATGTGTGTGTGATTGGGGGGGATCTAGAAGCTGGTTATGTATGAGCGATTGGGGTACTTCAAAGTCAGTAATTTATGTGTGGTTGCGTCAATGATGGGAGTTGCACCGAGGGGGTATTGTACCTGGCACTCAATGTCTTCTGTTTCTGGAACATTGTGTCCACTCAAGGGGTCATGTATGTGTGATCAGGGTACTTGGACGTCGGTAATGTATGTGCGTAATTGGGGTACTTGGAAGCCGGCAATGTATGTTTGATTGGGTCAATACTGGAATTGGGATAAAGTCTCAGACAAGGGAGCAATCAATGCACCTGGCCAGCAGACGATAGGGGCATACTCGATGCATACCAGAGAGAGGGGTGAACAGTGGTAAGCCCCCTGGAGGCTGGAGTAATCATTGCCGCTGTCTCGGGGACTGTCGCAAGAATCTTCGGCCATAACGGAGGAAAGTGGGAGTGTGTTGGACCATAAGGGACACTTGTGATAAGCCAGGAAAAACTTTGCTCCTCTGTCCTCCTTTTCCGATTCCGTTTGCCTTTCCCTTTTTGAGTTTTTGTTGATGGCCCCTATGTAACGATCTATTGCTCCGTCCCTTGTACTCGACGACGGATCGAACCTCTAACACGGCCACCCTCGGCCCGAAACAGGAGTCCCCCGTTCCGCCCGGGTGATTCAACCCCACGGCCAAAAATCCTCGGCCACGCCCCCAACTACTCTGGTCGGCGACCAAAGTACGGAACGCCACGCGGTGCGTGAGGTTAGCGCATCACAGATGGACCCTGTTTCCAGCAGGACAGACCCCTGGAAGGCTACAGTTAACGGAAGCTAGAGCTTAGTTTTATTTTTCTTTTTTTTAGGGTTTAAGGTAGATGGAAGATAAGTACTTCAAGTCACGCTACAGGCTTTAGGAAAGCAGAGGTAGGGCCCACATTTTTTAGACTTTGTTAGTGCGGTTCAACCCTTTCGTGGCAGCAATTGAATGGGACGCTGGACCCGGTTTCCAGCAAAGCCGAAGCTGGGTAATGGCCCCAGTACTCCGGGTTGAGATGTGGAAGGATTCTCTGGCCCCCAATTGTTATGAGATAAATAAAATTGCATTCTTCTGAAAAAGGAAAGAAAGAAAGAAAGAAAGAAAGAAAGTTGGTAATGCATGTGTGACTGTGGTCCTTTTCTTTTGGGGGGGGGACAGTGCTCCAATCTATTTGTGGGAGGCAGCACGTGCTGGGAACCGAGCCCAATGTCCCTCACGAAAATACAGAGAAGAAATCAAAGTACCGGGGCCATTACCCTGCTTCGGCTGAGAGCAGTTAAGGAAATTTAGTAGAATTCAGAAAAATTCGTGAACAGCTACTACAACTACAGTAAACCTCCTCCAGAGAAATTTGTGAAAATTCACGGCGTATGAATAATACTGGAACCACCCTACCATCTCCCACTAACTCCAGGGCAGAGGAATTTAACCCCTTCCCCCTGTGGAGAGAGACGAACCCCTTGCCACTATCTGCCCCCGCCCAAGGTCGACTCACTCTCCATCAACCAGGGCCCCAGAACAGTGCACCCCTCAATTACTGCCCTTATACCCCCAAGAGCAGCACTTCCCTCCAAGATGCTACCCTCACAGGGAGTCTTCTGTTTGTGGAATTTTGTGCACATCCTATGGGTAAGGTACGCCGAAATTATAAAAAAAGAAGAAGAAAAAGAAAAAGGTACGTTGAAATTGGGAATGTATGTGTGAATGGTCCTCTGGTGCCTCTGACCGAGATGTTGCTGGGCCCGGAAAGAGCGACTTTGCTGGTGAAACCAACCTGTAGACAAACCATGCAAGGCTTTGCATTTTTTGAAGCACTTCATTGTCCCCGTAGAGGTTTGAGTTCACCCTTGGATTGCATGACTTATATTGCAGGCATGCACCTGAAACTATGACAAAACTTCAAAGGCACACAAATTTCCATTCTCCCCCTCACTTCCAGAACATGAAGAAGCACATAAACACAAACATTGTAACATACAGAGCTTAGACATACAGAATTTGCAAGAAAGATTGAATGCCCTTATTCATATATAATATATACTATTATACATGGATCATAAGACACCAAGATAGCAATGCGGACTTCAAAGTTTAAAGTCGTCGTAAGATGCGAAGTTGCAAACCTTGTCCATGCATCATATCATTCTTCCACTCTCCTTCATATGAGTAATTCCCATCTGTGTAGATTCCTTTCCCATGTCGCAAACGCTTTGGCTTTTGCAGCTTCTCCTTATCTTGATCTGCAAAAAAAACATAATACACAAGCTTTTGTGTATGAGAAAACCATCCACCAGTAAGGTCAGCATCCAACATTTGCATGTGCTTCAGCATAGAAATGACAAAGATGGTGCCCTCACGATCCGATACGTTAATCGCAACACAATTGCCAAACTTCACGATTATGCCCTCACGATCTGATAGGTTACTCGCAACACAATTGCCAAACTTTCACGATTATGCACCCACATGTCAAGTGAATAACATCTATCTCCGCCTCTCTCCATGTCTATCTCTCTGTGGCAGTCTCTGTGCTGTGGGTCACTCTCTTTGTCTCTCCCTGTCTCAGCCTCTCTCCCTCTTGTCTATATCTGTTTCCCAGTCTGCTTGCCTCCTTTCCTGTCATCACCCTCCCCCCTCCCTCCCCTGTGTGTGTGTGTGTGTGTGTGTGTGTGTGTGTGTGTGTGTGTGTGTGTGTGTGTGTGTGTGTGTGTGTGTGTGTGTTCAAGCCCCCCACTCTGTGTGTGTGTGTGTGTGGGGGGGGGGGGGGGGGGGGGGGGGGGGGGGGGGGGGGGGGGGTCTCTTATACACATCTAGATGTGTATAAGAGACAGAAGTAAAGGTGGGTAATATAATAGAAGATGGGTGCAAGGTTCCCCACGTTTGTGTGGTTGAGCGGGAAAAAGTGCCCACACACACCCGTGTGCCGCCAAAGCTGCAAACTTGCACAAATATATATGGTGAGCCAGCATATCTTTGCATGGGGTTGGGACAATTTTCTCCTTTTCTCTCAGCCTGGCAAAAATGAAAGCAGCACAGGATTGTGCAGCAAAGCTGAGGAAGCACATCAATAGACCAATTGTTCCAAAGACTCCCAATGCACAATCACATTGATACCACCTTGGCAAACACATGGGAATCTTGGGAAGTTGGGAGAGAAAGAAGTCTTTTAGAGAAGAAGAGTCACCCACCAGTCTGACCAGCCCCATCCTTCTGCGGCATTACATCCTCCTTGTATCCCTCTTTGTATGCCTCTTTGAACACCTCTCTGATGAGTTCCTTTTGTGTTTCCTTAGCTGGAGCCTTCCGCGGCGATCCCGGAGCCTTCCGCGGTGATCCCGGAGCCTTCCGCGGCGATCCTTTCGGTGTCCCTTTGGTGGTTACTGGCTCAGGGGGTGGCGGTGGAAGCTCCACTATGCATTCCCCTTCTGCACAATACAAGTGCAAGCCAAATGATGGAGAAAATGAAAAAGCGAAACCAGGGGCTGTAAGTGAAGAATCTGAATTCAACTGTATCTCAACAACACCTTTATCACTCAATACTAATAGCAAATTGCATAACCTCGGCTTGCATCTGAGATGGTGCCATGATCCCAAAAAGTACCCCAAGAAAAGAAAGACATAAATAGTAGCAAAGAAAGGCCATAACTGCTGGGTCTTTCTTGTCAAGTGCACGGTTACACACCGTTTTGTCATCAGATAATCGCAGGATTCCAAAGACCTGTACATTTAGAAAACAAGTTTCGAAACATGAACAAAACATTCATTGGTGTGTGCTGTCTTGTAGAAGAAGATGGGAGGGAAAGGGGAGGGAGTGAGGGAAGTGGGGAGCAGGATAGAATCAGGGCAGACGGGGAAACGTGGAGGGAAGAAACGAAAGGGTGTGAGTGAAGGAGGGAGGGAAGCAGGGGGGAGAGTGCGAAGGGACGGAGTGAGAAGGGAGAGAAGGGAGTGAAAGGGAGTCAGGGAAGGAAAGTGAGGGGATGGAGGCAGGAAAGGAAGAGAGAAGGGGGGGGGGGGGGGAAGTGAAAAGAATGCCAAGGAAGAGAATTTAAAGGCAGGGGGAGAGGGTAGAAGGGAGTGCAAGCAAGGGAGTGGAGCTGGGCGAGGGATGGAAGGAGGGAGGATAGAAGAGCGAGGAGGGAGGGGGGAAGGGAAGATGGCAAAGGGAATGAAGATGTGAGTTAGGGGAGGGTGGATGGAAGGAAAGGGAGAGAGAAAGAAAGGGCAAGAGAGATAGGAGCGGGAGGACTG